TCTCAGGGGCAGCCGTTGCGGCGGCGCAAGCTGGTGGCGCTTGAAGCGCTTCGTTGCAGGCAGGCCTTGCTTCTGGTAAGGTATTTGGGTTCATTGGCCCCGTTACCCTGTCAGCAACAATTTTTGCACTGTTTGCTTACAGTACTTGGTTTGCCTTTTTGTTTGGCTGTTGTTGTTTTTGGGGTGTAGACACGGGAAAAATCTGCTATACAGACTAATCCGTAGCGCTATATATAGACTTCTTTCGATTTTTCAGAATCTACATCTCACAAGAAGCTAAATACTGACATCCATGCTTTGAAGCGGAGGCAGTAGTTTTTTTTTTGGTCGTGGTGGTAACAATAGGAGTAGTAGAGGTAGCATCTAGTGCTCCAAGCAACTGCTTGAAGGGGTTGCAGGAGTATGGAACACATTCAGTTGAACCTAATCCTGAGACCTGGAACAGACGCAGTACACTGTAGCAACAAATTGTTGTTTTTCATGTTTGTAGGTCACCATCGCCGGTGGAGAAAGCTTCGAAGGTGCGGAAGAAGTGGGGTGGGAACGTTGAGGTTTGTCTAAATGGAAGTGGCCAAAGAAGTTTGGAGGAACCGGCAAACGGCTGAATGGACGTGAATTTCAGATGTCTTGCCTTAACCTGATCAAAGCTACAAGAACCAAGCGCCTTTATGATGCCCAATGTCACAAAGACCAAGAAGTCAAGATTTGAGAGGTGGCCACCCGCATTTCTGTGACAGCAGCCCATCTCCAAATATTGCGCAGCCACGCGGCGGGCCTCAGTTGCTTTTTTCACATGTGAGGTCAAGGTAAGCGTCGTCAAGCACTTCGTGTATGCTTTATGAGTTTGTAGCGGCTCAAGCCATTGAAGTCCAAGACAAGCCAAGTCATCCGGCCATGGGTCGACGGGTTCTTGTTGTGGTCCTCCCTCCCGTGGCTGTGGCAGATCTTAGCATTCCCTGGCAAGAAGGCTGTGCTTTGCGGGAAGGTTTCGACCTGACCAGCAGCTGCGGCAAGCCAGCTGCGCTGGAACTCATCCAAGACTGTGAAACGCAGCAAGAGACAGCTTGCGTGAAGAAGATGTCCCGCAACGAGGTTCTGTTGAGCGCCTCAAGCAGAATCGAGTCGTTCCAGCAACTTAGCACCTTGCTGGAGAAAACCTCGAGCTTTTCAGGCGGTGGCTGGGGAAAGACAGCTTCAGCAACGGCGCAGATGATCCAGCACAGTGCGTCCAGTGACTATTCGATGAGTTTCCTGTCTCTCATGTTTGGCCTGGCAAGTGAGGAGACAATCGAACACACCCAAAAATTAAGGCTCACATCCCCAGCGCGGGAGAAATTGAAATCGGACCCTCGAGAGTTCTTAGAGCTCTATGGTTCCAGATTTGTGAGTTCCATCCTCTTTGGCTTTGAATTTGGTGGAGCGGCTTCCTTAACGGCAAGGAGCCACACAGGCAGCAAAAGCCTAGAGGCCTTTGCCAGCTTCCAGAGTGAGGGTATCTTCAGCGGCTCTGCATCGGCATCATTCCTGAGCGAGTATAGGAAGCACGAGACCACTCTGTCGCTCGCGTGTGATGCACGCTTCTCAGGAGGCAGGGATGTTCCGATTGGACCCTACCAGACGCCTCAGGATCTGGTACAGGCAATGGGGCAGTGGAACCAAACACGGACCATATCCCCAGTGAGGGTGATGATGATCACCAACGGGTGGATGGTGTTGGAGGAAGTGCAGCAGATCCTCAGCAATGCCACTCCCGAAGTGTTGGAACTCTTCACCACAGACAATGTGGCAAGTACGGCATTGCAGCGGATTTCCAAAGAATATGCCGAGCTGAAGTACTTGCAACAGAGTGCACTTGTTGCTCTTGATTGGCCCCGTGTCCAACATGACAGGTCGCTGGAGCTTCGCAAGGAGCTTGATGGAGTCCGCGATCAATTAGACACGCGCCTCACACAAATGGAGACCTTCAATGAGGCAGACTTCCGCACGCGGGAGTCTGAGATTCACCAGGGAGACTATTCCTGGTTCAAAGCCAGGAGCTTCAAAGATCAGCTTGATGCTTTAATGAGGAAGTTGCCTGAATGTGTTGAGGATGCTGAGTGTCGATCTGAGACCCAGCTTTGCGCGCAAGAGTCTGTTTGCGTGGAAGGAGAGTGGGAGACTTTGTGGGTTCGCAAGTCCAAAACCTTGGCGAATGGCAGATCTTCTACCGACTCCCACACTTTCCTCACTGTTGCTCCTGCTGAGCACAAAGATTGGAAGCAGCCCCTGGAGTCAATGAAGGCAAAGTGTGTGGAAAATGCAGGATGTGTTGCCTTTTGCAACAACCCTGATGATTGGAGCTTCTTCTACAGTATCACCAACCAGGGTGAGCAGAACCGGGGCCAACATGGTCAGGGGTGGTCGTGCTTCGTCAAGCCATCCCACTCATGGCGGCCCTTGCAACACAGTGTCACCTCCTACTTGGCAAACCCACCGGCAGCTCAACCGCCCCAGTGGAAGATCACCTTGGAAGCTGCCAAGGACTTGTGCAAGGAGAAGCAGTGCAAGGCGCTGGAACCCTGCTGACTGGACCCACCTCTATCCAACGAAGCCAGGGTCCACGCAACACGTGGGTTGGTATGGCAAGGGCTGGCAATGTTTTGAACGAGTGTGAGTGGCATAAGCCATGTGCTCAGTGTTTGGCATGTAAAGGCTAAGTCTAGCGCACGTTTCAACGCCCGTTTCAGATTTCAGTGAGTTCAGGTCACAAGCACCTTCATCTGCAGCACTGCCCTTGTCACCGAATCGTGTTCAATGGTTCGCTGATCTGTGGCAGTAAGGACAGCTGGCCATAGCTGGCCGATGATGGTCGTGCTGAAACAGTCGATGTTGAACGCCAATCTGCAGAGTAGCACGGTTGTGCACAGCTTGATTAGGGTCTCCAAGTCTCAGATAGGTTTTTGCAATGAAATAAAAACAGCCGACAAGTTTTGTGGGGCACTTCTAGGAGGCTTTGCCTTGTGTGCGTTTTGAGGTGTCAAGCCGGCTGCGTATCTTGTCGTCAAGCATGTCAAGCATGGTTTCTTTGAGGCCAGTATGTGACAATGGTCTGAATGAGAGTTTGAAGCATGGATACCTGGATCGCATCATGTCCTTTCAATGCGGAAGCAAAGGAGCAAGAAAGCGCTTTGTAGAGTGGATTCTGGAACATGCATTGAGTAGGTCCTCACTCAGGTGGCCTTGAACCTCATGAGGGTTGGACTTTTAAGAGCTGAATGCAGGCTTGGAGGCTCGTGGGGAAACCGAGAGCACTTGCATCTTAGACAGTCAAGACCTTTGGCAATAATGTCAAGTCCTGGATCCTTAAATCGAATGTGGTCAAATGCTCTTTCAATCGCATGACAACCTGGTTTGTTCAGTTGTGACCTCATTCACTTGGAAACCATATCTAGTGTTTTGCCTGTATTGACTTTCCTATCCTTTTCGTACTCCTTTTCGTTAAAATCTCTCACCGAGCAGAAGCCCTCCTCCTCATTCATTCTGACTAACGACTAAGACCTTTTTCTTTCTAATACGTCGTCGTTAAAGTGAACGCAACGGACCGTCCAGTGATTGCAAGTGCATTGAAGAATCATCGCGACCGCTCTCACGTGTGGCCAAGCATCTCAAAACCACATCAATACCACCCGAATCTTCGACAAACGTGTCTAAAAGCCCGGTCTGCTATAAACGTTGACTATATTAAATTCCTAGCATTTGCAATAACTCCATAGGGCGGCTTCCCCCAAAAGTTGTTCCTTTGTCGCAATTCCATGGAAACCTCCTGGATTTGCCCCAACTAGCTTTGGAGATGTGGTCAAAGGTACTGAGTTTGCAATGTGTTTTTCTGTTGGAAGACTGGAGAGACTGGTCGACTTGAGACGCATGTGAGTGTTGCAGAGGCCATGCCAGAGAGGCCGAGAGGCCGTGCGACAAGAAAGAAACAGCCAAGTCAGTGAGCCGCTGAGAGAACTGTTTTTTGTTTATCTTTTGAAGGGACATCGCTGTAGACTTGGGATGGTCAAGCCGTGGAAGGCATCGCTAGGTATTGGACATGGTCAGTTTCATCTCTGTGCTCCTAGCTGCGTTTTTGGCTTGTTAGCTTGTCACGCCAAATTCCCCTGGTCATTGGTCATGATCATGTTGGTGCTGGGCCTCTTGGGCTTTAGCTTGGCCTTTGGATCAGCGCCTGAAGTCGAAGTTCTCTTTGGGAGCAAAGGTCCCTCGATCAGCCTTCCAGATGGTCGCCGTTTGGGAACCACTTGGCATCCAGATGCTGATCCAGAGTTTGTCGGAATCTTTATGGCAACAGTCCCATGCAAGTCATTCCTATTCCACACCGTATCCTCGGGCAAAAACATTTGCTTCCTCCTTCCAAACTTGGGGGACCGTAGCCACATGCGGTCGAAGGTGGAGAAAGGAAGGCAAGCTCGATCCTCCTGCCGACCAGGCACACTCTTCCTTCGCCATGATCAAATGGTGGTGCTCACATATGGGCCTACTCAAGACCATCAGTCCTACATGCCACCCATCCTGACTGTGGATACCGAGGACTTGCCTGCGTTGGAGGCTTTCGGTGAGGAAGTTTGGACAGAACAGTTGCGAGGCGAAAGCAAAAAAGCATTCACGCTTGCTTTTACCTCTGTCGGCAAGCCGGTGGTTGGAGGACCACTTTTCAAAGATGAACTCACAGGCAACCAAGCAGTTGACGATGCAGTGGCTGCCATTAGATCTCAGACGACTCGCCACTGGTTGGTGCCGCCGGAGGAAGTGTTTGTCCTGCTAAGCAAAGGACATCCGGAAGAGGGGACTGCAGGTCAGAAGTTCCCACCAATGACAATCTTTGGCGGAGTTTTGATGACTTTGACATCCTATGCGCACAGCGGCAGTTTGAACGCTGCTGCATCATTGTTCGCTGAGGGCCCGGATGGGGTTGCGCAGGCCGACCTGAAGATCATCAAGCGACTCGTCAACAAGATTGGGGACGCCAACCTTCCTTACCTTCGAGCCTTGAGCCTTCACACTGTTTGTGAGTCTTTTGAACAGTTCTTCAGGGCCTTGGACCAATCTGAAACGGTTCTCCAAGTTCAAAAGCTGATGCAAGCCATCTCTCTGTTTGGTGCACTGATGCATGGGTGGGTGGTCTATCTCTTCCCATACCGGCTTGGTGTTGGACTCCATGTGCCTGAGATCTTCGAACCATCCAGCCATCCATCGTTTAATGTGCCACTTCGTTCTCGAGAAGGGCAGGGACTTGGAGCGGCCACCTTTCACGTCAGGAGCTCAAAGGAGCGAGAGGAGATGGCCAAAAACATGCATTTGCCAGAGAGCTTGCAGAGCAAAAAATGATAGTCTTCCGCACATTCTTCGCTTGAATGCTGCTCAGTCGGTCTCATTGACCGAATTGGCAGTGGCAGCACGTGCAAAAGTCCAGGAGCTTTTGCCATCGAACGGAGCCATCTTATTTCGTGGCCTCCCCCTATCCACCTTTTCAGAGGCAAGTGATTTCATTGCGGCCCTCGGCTACACCATGTACCCTGACCCAAGTGGTCGAGAGAAAGTGGCAGACAATCTTGCCCACTCCTCGCTGGCAGTTCCACCCTCTTTCAACATATGCCCACATCAGGAGCACATAGTGAGTCAGCGGCCGCCCACGAAGCTCTTGCTCTTCGCCCACAAGCCGTCCAAGGTTGGAGGCGAGATGCCCCTTTGCAAGGCTTCTGATGTTTGGACTTCGCTGCCACTGAAAGTGAGAGAGCAGCTTTCCAAGAGGGGAGTGAGATTCCTCATGGTACGCACGAACGCCAACTCCTCGGCAAGCAATATCTCTGCATCCCGAACGTGGCAAGAGCACTGGCAGACGCAAGATGTGTCTACGGCCAGAAGGCTGGCCGCAGAGCAATTTCCGGGCATGGTCACCGTGGATGAGCATCAAACCATTTACGTGAGGAGTCCACGCCTTGAAGCGTACAAGGAGTCAGAAGGCATTACATACTATAGGACACAGCTGCAAAACATGTACTCTCTCAATTGGTTCTGGGGAGATTCAGATGAACGCATCAACAATGAGATCTTGGAAGAGATCATGGGCGCTGTTTGGTCTCCTTGTGTGGTGTTCACATGGCAGGCCGGTGTTGTCGAACATGAATCAGCAGCCACCACCCTGCGTTGCCCCTGCGCTCCAATCCTGGAGCTTTGACTAAAGTTGACATCTCAAACTCATGCTTATTCTGTTTTATTGTCAAATTTCTGACGGACCAACATAAAAGAATCTATTTTTTGTCCGCTTGCTTGGGTGCATTCAGGGTCAGTTCTAGCTGAGGCATCTTACATGGTTGCTGCTGGTGCTGCTCCTGCTCCTGATGCTGCGATAGTTGGTTCCTTGATTGGTCAGTTGGTTGGTTGGTTGGTCGGTCTTGGTATGCTAGTTGTGATGTTGAGTTTTCAACTGGTCTTTTTGACCGTTCGGCGGTTGACACTTACGTATAGCATGCTGCCTACAACAAGCATATTCTTTCAGCTGCCATTGTGGTTATGCTATCACTGTTGTCATCACTGCTGCCATTGTGGTTAGTTCTACGGTCACTGCAGCCATCACTGCTGCTTCCGCTTCCATACCTAGCTAATTATTGTTGTTGCTGCTGCTGCCTGTGCCAAGGCTATCGCTGGTGTTTTTCTCAACTTAGCCAACAGTTACAGTTATGTTATAGATTTGCAACAGTCTCGCAGCATTTCGCTTCACGTTCATTGTGATGGTTTGTGTTGGAATTAGGATTGAAGGGAGCCGGAGCCAAAGTCAACACTTGACACTTGCAGTCTGCGGAATTTTACGCCTCATGCCAATGGCTGTTGTTGTGTTAAACCTCATCGACTCTTAGGGGTTCAGAAGTTGGACTTTGCAAGGCTGGAGATCTTCTGCTGATCGACAACGAAAAGGTTTTGCATGGTCGACTGAGCTATGAAGGGGAACGGTCCATGGCAGTCGCCCTGGCCAGCGACTGAGAAAGCGTGACAATACAGTGGTTTCAGAATAGATGGATGGCACCAACCCAAAGATGTCTTTTACATGGGGGTCCATAAAAACCACCTTTAGGATCCTTTTGGGAATGGTGCCATCTACTCTGAAACCACTTTAATTGACCATAGTATGGTCGAGAATGCATGCATGGGGGCAGACCTCGGCTTTAGGTCGTGCCCAATGAATACATGCTTATGAGCGTTTGCATCTCCACATTTAAGTGGATGCGTGGCCAATGCAGAACAAAAATAGTTCTGCAATTCCGATGTACTTGTGCACCTTTTCTTAAGAACCATCCAGCACTGACGCATTGATCAGCGCATATTGAAGGCTGAAGACTTAGCTGCGATTTTTGTTGATCCAAGACAACTTTTTTGCTAGAAACTCTCAGGGGCAGCCGTTGCGGCGGCGCAAGCTGGTGGCGCTTGAAGC